GCCGGCCGGCGCCCCCCACGGGTCCACGCGCGGAGCCCTGCTCTGCCCTGCGTCTGCCCCGCCCACCCTCACCTGCGGTCCCCGGCGCGGTGGTGAAGCTCTGGTAATCAACTGCCAGGTCCCCGTGGGGGCAGGGGCGGGCCAGGGGAGGCAGGGACAGAAAAAGCAAGTGAGTGCAGAAGGGGAAACTGAGGCCCAGCATCTTTTCCCCCTGCCCACAGGGGGAGACAACCGGCCCCCTGTCCTTGGTCCCAAAAGACCAGAGATAGGTAACTTTTCCATGATCCCCCTGCGCCCCCGCTTCTCTAGAAGGGTCCAAACTCAATCCGGTCAGAACAGTGGCCTCTGCTCACAGGGACATTTGTGTGGGAGGCAGAGCCCAACGGGGCCTGCGTGGGTGTCACGCATCTGTATACCTTTCCCGGGCCAGAACCTGGGCTCCAGAACCCCTCCTCACGCCTTCATATCCTCCAAGGACTCACTTGTGACTGAAGTACTGCGTCTGAGTTGGGAATTAAGAGGGCCGAAGGGGAGAAGCAGGAGGGAGAGAAGCTGCCCTGGCCCCTGCTGGGTCTCCTATAAGCCCTGAGCCCGGTGACAGGACCCCTTTTCCCAAGAGGTTGCCCCCTGAACAAATGCCTGTGGAACAGTCATTTTCCTATACCTTCCTGGAGAAGGTAGAGTGCAGTGTGTGTGGAGGTGGGTGTCATGGTAAAGGCCCCACTGATGCATCTCTGGTTTTCTGGGATCAGTGCAGCAATAAACTGTCTGCAGTAGTTGAGCATGGACAGGCCTGAGTGGTTTACTGTAGGGGTATGGGAAGGAATGTTAGTCCACTCTTCGGAGGGAAGTGTAGACATGAAGTGATGGCTGGCCCAGCACTCCTGGGATGCACTAGTTCTGGTCTCAAACTTCCTCAGCCTAGAAGCGGGTCAGTAGGCAGGACAGATGTGGCCAGAGGTGCTGCCCACTAGCGTTTGGTCATGTTAGGTACACCTCATACCCAGTCTCATTCCTCTTACCTGTCACTGGCAAGTCTCTTGTTATCCAGTTCTCCCTTTCCCTCATATCATTCGTACCACCACCCAAACACGCTCTGCTTGAAAAAACACAGCTCTTGACCCCACTTCTGCTTCCTTTAGCAGCAACCTGGAGTTGTCATCCTCTGCTTTCAACACCGCTCCTCCCTGTCCCGAGGCCCCAATAAAGCTCCTAATTGCCCCAAACTTTCACCTGCCAGTCAGGGACATGTCTGATCCTGCTGGCATCTTCCCTCCAGGATACACTTTCAGATGTCACCCTCTTGCATGCAGGCAAATACTTTACCACTGAGCTTCATCACCATCTATCATGTACCCTTTTTTTTTTAACTAGGTATTGAATTCAGGACCTTGCACTTGCCAGGCAGGCGCTTGTGCCACTGAGCTATGTCCCTGGTGGCCCCATGTACCCTTTCTTGGCAGCCCTTTTAAGGTGCCTTCTCCTGCCAGACCTGTTGAGCCTTAGGGGCCCAGGTCTTGTCCTGGGACTCTTCTCCCTCTGTGATGGCTCCCTTAACTCTAGATTTTTTTTTTTTTTTTTTTTTTTACTATAGGTAAATAAAAAGCCATACACATAT